GAATGCTGTATAGCGTAAGCGGATACGAACACAAGAAGCACTTCTGCCTGTACTGTCTACACAGCTGTAAGAGTGAAGAGCTGCTGAGGAAACATAAGGAGACATGTCTCGAGGTAAATGGAACTCAGGCCACAAAGCTTCCCAAGGAAGGTACGAAAATAAAGTTCAAAAATCATAGGAACTCAATGCCTGCACCATTTGTAATATATGCCGACTTTGAGTCTATACTGGTTCCTGAAGAGAGGAAAGTTGATCCTGAGAGCTCTGAGGAGAAGAGTACTACGGACCTCTACCAGACCCACAAGGCTTGTAGTTTTGGGCTTAAAACTGTGTGCCATTACGATGATCAGTACTCCGGTGAATATATAAGTTACGTTGGTGAGGACGCCACGAATGTCTTTCTGAAGACAGTATTGAAGGAGTCTATTAAGTGCCGGGAAATGGTAAACAAAATATTCAAGAAAAAGATGGTAATTACACCAGAGCAAGAAGCTGAGTTCTGGATGACAAGAAACTGCTCCATATGTGGTAATGACTTAGGTGATGATAGAGTGAGAGATCACGATCACGTAACTGGAATGTATCGTGGAGCTGCCCATAATATGTGTAATCTAAAGTATAGAATCACATGGAAAGTTCCGGTGGTTTTCAACAACCTAAGAGGTTACGATAGCCATCTGATAATGCAGGAGATTGGAAAGCTCAAGATGAACATCAACGTTGTCCCAAATAATATGGAAAAATATATTTCCTTCTCACTAGGTAAAAGCCTTGTGTTCATTGACTCAATACAGTTCACGGCTTCTTCTTTGGAAGCACTTGTGAGTAACCTTTCACCTGAAGACTTCAGGATAGTTGGTAAGAGGTGGACTGGTGAGGACTTCAAACTTGTGACACAAAAAGGTATATTTCCATATGAATATTTGGATGACATTAGTAAACTTAATGTTGAGGGTCTTCCAAGCAGAGACAAATTCTACTCATCTCTATATGAGTCGGAGGTGAAAGAAGAAGATTACCAAAGGGCGCTAAAAGTATGGGATCACTTTAAGATGAAAACCATGAGAGACTACCACGATCTCTACCTGGAAACTGACGTTCTTCTTCTAGCAGATGTCTTCGAAAACTTCAGGAGAACTTGCTTGGAAAATTACAAGCTTGACCCTGCACACTACATATCAGCACCTAGTCTAAGTTGGGACGCCTTCCTGAAACAGTCAGGTGAGGAGATAGAATTGGTAAGTGATATGGACATGTTTCAGTTCTTCGAGAAGGGAATGAGAGGTGGCATAAGTCATATTGCTCACAGAAAGGCTACAGCCAATAATAAGTATATGGAAACGTATAATGAAGATCTTGAAAACAAGTTCCTTATGTACCTCGATGCCAACAATTTATATGGTTGGGCGATGTCTCAGCCGCTGCCTAACGGTGAATTTGAGTGGGTCGAGAATTTCGACGCGGCAAACCTAGATGACTATCTTGGAGACAACGGAAGGGGTATGGTTTTAGAGGTTGACATGGAATACCCAAAGGAACTTCACAATCTACACAACGGTTATCCGCTAGCACCGGAGAGTAAGGAGATCGGTGCCTCGATGTTGTCAGACTACGCAAAGGATATTGCCGACAAATTCCAGCTGACAATTGGAGGAGTAAGAAAACTGGTGAACTCCTTAGGTCCCAGGAAAAACTACGTCTTACACGCCCGTAATCTGAAACTCTACACAGAACTCGGAATGAAACTTACGAAGGTCCACAGAGCCGTCTCATTCAAACAGTCCCCTTGGCTTAAAAACTATATCGACTTCAATACAAAGAAACGGTCAGTTGCACGTAATACTTTTGAAAAGAACTTCTTCAAATTAATGAACAACTCAATCTATGGAAAGACCATGGAGAATCTAAGGAAGAGAGTTGACGTGAAATTAGTGTCATCAGAAAATGACCTCCTAAAACTTACAGCGTCGCCGTGCTTCCAGTCGCATAGAATTATGAATGAGAACTTAATAGTTGTAAAGCGAACGAAGGAAGTTCTAACTCTAAACAAACCGTGCTACGTTGGAATGAGCATCTTAGACTTATCAAAGACTCTTATGTACGACTTCCATTACAATACAATTAAGAAGGAGTACGGTGACAGGTCAAAGCTACTGTTCACAGATACTGACAGTCTGATGTATGAAATAAAGACTGACGATGTGTATGAGGACTTCAGGAGGATCGGTGAAGAAAAAGACTGCTGGGACAACTCAGACTATCCAAAAGATTCCCCATACTACTCAGCTCATAATAAGAAGGTAATTGGTAAGTTTAAGGATGAAGCTGCGGGAGTACCAGTGATTGAATTCGTTGGGTTAAGGTCGAAGATGTACTCCTACGTAAAGGAAAGTGGTGGAGGTGGAATGACCGCGAAAGGAGTGAAAAAGTATGTGATTAGAAATACACTCACTCACGAAAACTTTAAGAACGTAATCAAGACGAGAGGTTTGATGAGACATAAGATGAACACAATCAGAAGCATCAAACATAAAATCGGAACTTACGAACTGAAGAAAATCACACTTAGTTGTTTCGATGATAAACGGTACTTACTTGAGGATGGTGTTACAAGTTACGCGTACGGACACCACTCAATAGAAAAATAAATTGTTAAATAATTCTGATAAATAATAGATAAAAAAATGAGGTAAAAAGACCACGGAAAAAATGGTCTAGAAAAAATGGTCTAGAAAAAATGAGCCCGCGTTCTTTGGGGAAAATTCGGGAAACCGCTGACCGGAAGTGGGGTGGGATCGCGGGCTGAAAAAGTGGTCTAGAACCGCTACTTCCTATACTACTTGTAAAGATTAAATATTGTACAAAGGAAATCAAGCAAAACGTTTTAAGTAGCTACGCGAGCTAAAATTGTCCAGCCACAAGATACAGTAGCATAAAATAACAAAATAGGAGGGATAATCCAGGCAACTAAACAGCCATCTGTGGACGGTACAAATCAGAACGTCGGCAAATATATAGAGCTCCTCAGAACATTGCATAGGGAGATATAACGATTGAATAATCTTCCTGAACACATGCAGCGATTAAGTGAAGCGAGAAATGGGAGGAGGCTCATAATGAAAACTATTGGGAAACCAATAATATATGTTAGCCAGCCTCGTTAAATAAAGTCATAATTATTATCATATTATTATTATTCAATAGATGCACAAATGCATACAAACCTCCAAAGTAATATCGTCGTTAGATAAACCTGCGACTGGCGGTGTTGGCGGTAACTGATCGAGAACAATGGCCGCTCCGTCAACGGCCTGAGGTTTGTCAACAGGGTCAGGGATAGAACTAACAGAAGCCGCCGGAGCAATAATCTCCTTAGCTGTAGGGACACTGCCAGATGGAATTTGGATGCTTTGGGAGGCCATAGCAAGAGAAGAGAGATATACGGCGTAGCTGAAGCGTTTATACAGCGTCTTTCGTATGCTTGGGCTGGCTTGCTGCTCTTGCTTGGATGCTCGTGTTTGCCTGCTTGAGTTTTCCGTGTTCTTACGCGAGGAATCTAGAACAGACTGACTTCGATCGCTTGTTCTGATCTCCTTTGATAGGCGTGAGCGAGACCGTTGAGTATAGCTGGGTATTTGACCTGTATAATCGATTTCCGCTGTTTCCAGGCTCCTAGAATGCAAATATCATATTATTTTGATGAGCGAATTTGTATTTCCGGTTCTGAGCCACGCTTTAGACTGAAATAAGGTAACAAAGATGAAAATCTGAAGATGCAAGTTTGAAAATAGCACTCTTTTTTTGTTATCAGTGAAAGTGAAGCAATCTGATTGGCTGAGGAGCCTTACACAGCGGGCCGGGTTTTTTGCATCCGGCCCGCTCTGAAATGCAACTGCCCACTCTGGTTTTCGCGGCAAAAACTGTGGAGTGTGTGATGAAGTGTCTTTTGGAGTATGTAATTTAAGTATCTTTTGGAGTATGTAATTTAAGGAGTATGACCGCATGGCGAGAGAGACAAAAATGTGTAAGTTTGATACCTGAAATAATTGTGTGATCGTGAGAGAGATTTTGTGGAGAAGCCTGAAATAATTCTGTGATCGTGAAAGATATTTTGTGGAGAAGTTGCTTGTGTGATATGTTATCAAAGAACTTTATCTAAAGTGTTCAGAGTGCTTCGTTACATATTTGGTACGGTGGTCCTACCGAGACTGGAATTCTGTGTTATTTTGTGTTTACACTGGATGTGTGTTTTAATATTGGTGTCACCTCGTGTTTTATGCTCGTTTGTGGGTTTTATCGATTTACTTGAACATGTGAAAAGCTAATATGGCAGAAGAAAACGAAGTTGTTCAGCCCGGAAATGCCGATGGAAGTAAATTATTTCATTCCTTGTTTAGATGACCAGATAAGTTTAAGATTGGTGACGATTTTGATATGTTTATTATGAAATTGGAATTGTATTGTGGAGCAGTCGAGCTTGTGGATGAGAGGAAACGAAGGTTTGCTTTTCTGTTTAATCTCAACGAGGACGCTTTTCGCCTAGCAGAATCAGTCGAGTTCATTGAAGAAGCTGATGCTTACAAGAATTGGCTTAAGGAGCTGAAACTGTTGTTCGAAAGAAATCAAAAACCGTGAAGAGATATAATTTTCACCAGTGTTCATCATCCGGGTGAGTCAGTTAATTATTATGCTGTGGTGTTAAGATAAGCTGGTGCAAAAGGTGGGTTTAGATGTGATGAATATGCCAGTAGACTAGTCGACCAGTTTATTCTTGGACAGAGAGATCGTACAACTCAGAGTAAATTATTACAAGAACCCCCAAGTAATTTGGATGATGTTTTATTGATTGCGAGAAGATGCGAAGCTGCTAATGTAACCATGCAAACTTTGGCTATGCAAGGTCAGGGTACAGGCAATAACAGTACGATCGGAGCTGTGAGTTCTATGCGTAAAGTGGTTACATGTTTTGCATGCAATAGATTTGGACATGTTGCAAGACAATGCCCTACATTAAGGAACAGTTTCAAACAAGACACTCACTTGTCACCTAAAGTATGTTATCTCTGCCAAAAGCCTGGACATATAGCTCGTAACTGTTTTATTTCCAAATCAGGACAAGGTGATGTGCAAAACAGTCAAGGTAAGCATGTCCCAAATAAAAAGTCTCTAGTTTGCTAAAAACAAACCGAACTTGCATGCCAAACGAAACAAAATATAAGATAACTATCAACAATTTCACCAGCAAGCAAAAGGAATACCATCATGGTTGAAGCCCAGATAAATGGGAAATCTGAGCTTTGTATTGTTGATACGGGTGCTTCAATTTCGCTAGTTAGCAAAAATGAGTGGCAATTTTAAAGGGAAACAATGCCTCTTTGACTCCATCTGATATCCTTAATGAGGCAGCAAACAATTCCGGGATAGGGATTCTGGGTAAGACTGCCTTGTATGTTAAAGTCGACCCTGGACACATATCATGCCATGAGTTTTCTGTTGCTAGTGACATGATATATGAGATTATTCTTGGCCTGGACTGGTTAATGAGTAATAAAGTTAACGTTGACCTGTCAAGAATGGTGTTGACATTTCCTGTTTTGTCTACTAAGCCCTTGTCCGTGTTTGATTCGACTTTGTCAGAGCCCTTAGCTGTTGTTTTGGATGAGGATATTGAAGTCTTTGCAAAGCATGAAATATTTCAAAGAGCTCGAATAAGAAATCGTACCATTTCTGAAAGTGTTTTGGGACCGAACAAGGACAGGCAAGGTGAAGACAGAAGGACGGAAGAGGGTAACAAGTAACATGACCGGGAGAATGGAGGACGAAACAGGGATAGACAAGGTGATGGTGAAGGGTTCATCGTGGCACTAGGGGACAAAATAGGGACAGCCAGGCTTTTGAAAATCCAGATGACTTAAGACGCAAAGAACGAGCTGGCAATGACAGACAAGATGAGAGACTGGGGAGAGAAAATGATACTAGTGCGACAAAGAGAGGAAAAGGCTTTGGAAATCCTGGGGACAAGAAACGCAAAGAAAATATGGATGAGCAACTACCTCATGCTTTACCAGGGTATCGAGTTAGCAAGCAGTCTTCTACCGGAGCAACACCATTTGAAATGTTGTATGGAAGAAATCTCAGATTGCCTCTAGGACTAGAAGCAGAAGAACTAGAAATCAAACCGACTCATGGACCCCCAAGTACTCAGAAGATTTAAAAAAGCGACAGAATAACATGCGAAAGATTGTAATGGAGATTAAGAGAGGATGTCCACAAAAATCAAACATTTCGCGGCCACGACTGAAAAATCGATTTTGCTCAAATTTTGCCCAGATATACCTTATTATATCGGAAAATGCACCATAAATTTTTTTAGGTCAAATGCTTTTTTAACTTTGAGAAAATGCCGTTTTAACACGACCACCCTAAATCGCCATTTTTTCTGGGAAAATATGCGCTGATTTTACAGATAAATTTCACCACGACAACCGTTTCCAATCGATCTAAAACCCTAAAAATCTTGTTTTCGGTTATTCAAAGGACTGTGTACATGACTTACAGGAAATCTGAGTTACTTTTAGGAATAGAAATAAGCGTAGTTTTGGAGCACACTATCTTACTTCATTTACGATACCCTCTTAACAAAATCGATTTTCACCATGCAATAAAGCTCCAAATCAATCATGCTTCTACTAGTTGGCTCTTTAATAAAGAAGCTTTCAATTGACGTAAATACTTCTTTTGGCAAATGAATACGCGATAAACGACAGCGCGTTGAAATCGTCCGTTTTTGACGTCTTGCAAGTCAAACGCTGTTAATTTACATACCGTCGAAGTAAACAATTTAATCAAGTATTTAAAGTATTTTATCTTTTGAGAAGAAGATATATTCTTGAATGGAGACTTTTTACCTTGCTTAGTTTAAAATTGGTCCAAAAATCCCGAGATATTTGTAAAATATCATCAAACATCCAGTATTTTGAGACATCGTTGACGGTTGCACATTGATAACTTCAGATCATTATTCAACGTGATCTACGACCCGCCGACCCGGCCGTTTGACTTTTAATAGCGCTAACATATACAAATCGATGAGCTATTTAAGGATTATATTTGCTACTAAATTCCCAAAAAGAATTGAAACTACAACTGCTGTTTTCAGAGGTTTTGATCCATTTTGTCCATATTAATGTACCATTTTATTTATCGACTGATGTTTACAAATACGTAAGTTAATTATTAAGCAGCTGTTAGCGTGCGTGTACATGTGAGATGAACGTTTATAATGTTTATCCATATAAGGGGCGGGCCATTAGAAATCCCGGGAGGGGGGGTGAAAATTCCCAAAAAAAAATTCGTGCAAAGAAAAATGCCTGGAAAAAAAATTCGTGCAGCCATTACGTCAGAGAAAAAAAATTCGTTCAAGCAAACTGCAAAGTATAAGTAGTCTTGAAATAAAATTCGTGCAGAGGTTAAATGCATTAAAAAAAATTCCTGCAGAGACATGAGACTGAAAAAAAAATTCGTGCCGCAAAAATTTTATACCCCCCCTCCCGGGATTTCTAATGGTCCGCCCCTAAGGAGTTTTTATTTTTAGTTTACCAGCTCTTATATTTGAACAGTCGTTTTCTTTCAAGTTGTTTTCTTTTTTATACTCTGCAAAGTTGATTCCGAAATGTTAAGGTATTCGAAAAAACTATCGAACTTTTCCATGATATTTACAGAGAAACGTCACAGCTGTAAACCCCCTCCCCCACCCCCAAAACGAACATATGACGTTTCTTGTGGAAAAATAGATATGTGAGGCTTCCCTAAAACTGCAAGGTTTACACTATTGAATTAAAATCCCACAGACCACAACGATTATACGTATTGATTGTTTCTTGACGATAGTAGACGCGTACGTGCATGTTGCGGAAGAGGTTATTTCGCTGGCCACAGAGTGACTAAAGGTACTCTGGTTCTAGAGGTTTAAAATAATAAACCTCTGTTTGAAAGCGGCAATTAATTCATCGAGCCGCGCCAATCAGCTTCAATTAGGGTAGATAGTTATGATAAGACAAGGGCGGCGCCAGGGCCGCCCATGCAGGGAGGCGGCAAAGGGAGCAATTTTCTCCGCGACCCCAGCTCAAGGAAGACAGGCAAATACAAATTTGCAAGGCGATAAAAAGTTTGTCGACGGAGGGGGGTAATTGTGGTTCACCGGGGCCCCAAGGGTATAATTGCCCCTGGGGCCCCATATTTCACTGAGCTGGTTTGGGCTGCGCCAGTATTTCTCCGACGGGGGGAGTCATCAGTGCTCTCTTTTGATCTTTGTCAATTGGCATTAAAACCGCAACAACTACCGACAAGTGACCAGGGCCGGATTAACGTCGCGCGAGGCCCGTGGCAAATTTTAGCGCGAGGCCCCCAAACCTCCCCCTTCCTTCTTTTTATGAAAACCATTGAATTTAAAGACACACAAAAATGTTAAACAATTTTTTTCAATGTTTCAATTTATTTGCATCAATTATAAACGAGATAATGGCCTGCCTGGCGCAGTTGGTGGGTATAAACAGGATCATAATATAACAGCTCAACGCAACTAAAGATTATATGAACACGAGTATTGCATATTTTCCCGGGGCCGTGCTAGGGCGAACTGCCAAGCACAGGGGCCCTAAATGCGCGAGGTCCCTAAATTCGCGAGGCACCTAAAATGGGTGTATCCCAATAGAAAATGGCCGTGTTCTCGTAAAAATGGGCGTAGCACAGTAAAGCGCGAGGCCCACGGCATTGCCGTATTTGGCACGTGGTTAATCCGGCGTTAAACGAGCAACAAGCTTTCATTTTCTTTAAACGCGACGTATGGGGAGACAATAATAATTTGTGATGTCGCACTGGGCCAAAATACTCAATGCTGTATTTTTGGGTATTAGTACTTGTGAAATATAATAAGATCAATAGACATTAGTGTATCAAAATAAAGTAATTTTACTGATTATTTTAACTGTGCATCAAAGTAACACACATTATTCTAAACTACAGTATTTGCTATATGCCTATAATTTGAGTTTGAGGTGGTAGAATATATAATAAAATAACAAATCCTTGTATGGATAAATGTTCATTTCACACGCACGCTATTAACAGCTGCTTAATAATTAACTTATGTATTCGTAAACATTTATAGTCGATATGTAAATACTAAATGGTACATTATATGGATCAATGCAAACTGGAACAAAACAACAATTGTCAGAAGTTCTAATTTTGGGAAATTTAGTAACAAATATAAAATCACTAAACAGCTCATCGATTTGTATGTTTGCGCTATTAAAATAGACAATATTGAACAATGATCGATCTGAAGTTGTCACGCAACTGACAACAATATTATATTTCAAAATACCTGTATATGATGATATTTTACAAATATCTCGGGATTTTTGGACCAATTTTAAACTAAGCAAGGTAAAAAGTCTCCATTCAAGAATATATCTTCTTCTCAAAAGGTAAAATACTTAAAATACTTGATTAAATTGTTTACTTCGACGGTATGTAAATTAACAGCGTTTGACTTGCAAGACGTCAAAAACGGACGATTTCAACGCGCTGTCGTTTATCGCGTATTCATTTGCCAAAAGAAGTATTTACGTCAATTGAAAGCTTCTTTATTAAAGAGCCAACTAGTAGAAGCATGATCGATTTGGAGCTTTATTGCATGGTGAAAATCGATTTTGTTAAGAGGGTATCGTAAATGAAGTAAGATAGTGTGCTCCAAAACTACGCTTATTTCTATTCCTAAAAGTAACTCAGATTTCCTGTAAGTCATGTACACAGTCCTTTGAATAACCGAAAACAAGATTTTTAGGGTTTTAGATCGATTAGAAACGGTTGTCGTGGTGAAATTTATCTGTAAAATCAGCGCATATTTTCCCAGAAAAAATGGCGATTTAGGGTGGTCGTGTTAAAACGGCATTTTCTCAAAGTTAAAAAAGCATTTGACCTAAAAAAATTTATGGTGCATTTTCCGATATAATAAGGTATATCTGGGCAAAATTTGAGCAAAATCGATTTTTCAGTCGTGGCCGCGAAATGTCTCATATGTTCGATTTTTACTGACATTCACTCTTAGAAAACTCATTCGCGTCCGTGTTGTATCAGATATACAAACTCTCGCCTTCGGCTCGAGTTTGTATATCTGATACAACACGGCCGCTCATGTTGTAAACATTACGAATCGAACAGTCCCAGAAGAAACAGAAACGTAACGTTGTTATGATTCACGAAATCCTGCATGCCGGAGCAAAGAGTATTGGTAATGAACTGCCGAATCCTGAAGAACGCTAGAATGTTCAAAGAAACGATGATGGTCCCAATGTAATGCATGGTTACAACCTTAGACGCAATCGAAGGGTGGCAGATCGTTATCGAATACCTATTGTGTATTACTGAACAGATAAGTTAAACACATTTTAGTAATTGAATGTTACACGTTTAAGACAGTGTATTATGAACCTTGTCGATTGAACTGTTGAACTATTTTATATGTACTTTTATGTTGAGTTGACCAGGAAAATTTTAGTAGTATAGTCTTTAATGATGTTGACATTCGG